CACAGAGCTGTTGGGCAAAGACTGGGAGATTTATTGGTTTTGGTGTTTAGGAGATCTCTGTCCAGCCCTCAGCTGATCACTAAGCTAACTGAGTAGAGACTTCAGTAGCCACAGACCAGAAAGAATACAGACAACAAACCCCAGAGGGAGGAGAATTAGATCTCCAGAGCTGCCTCATGAAAATGTCCAGTTTTCAACAGAAAAAATGTATGCAGAGAACAAGGAAGAATAACTAATAAATAGTAAGAAAAGGCAATAGTAGAAGCTGTCCCTGAGGAAGTTCAGACATTGGACTTGTTAGTTAGACAAAGACTTTAAATAAGTTTTTAAAACTATGTTCCAAGAGCTTAAGGAAACCACATTTAAATAGAAAATATCAAGAAAGTGATATAAATAAAAATGAACTAAATAGAAATTCTGGAATTGAAAAGAATAATAACTGAAATGAAAATTTCACTAGAGGGGCTCAAGAGCAGATTTGAGCGCACAGAAGAATCAGAAAACTTGACATAGACCAATTGAAATTATCCAGTTTGAGAAATAGAAGAATGAAGAAACATGAGCAGAAACCTGTGAGCCACCATCAAATATACCAACATGCATATATGGTGTTCCAGGAGAAGAAGGAGAGGAAAGCAGAAAAAAATGTTTTAAAAATAGCCAAATCTCCCCAAATTTAATAGAAACATGAATCTGCACATCCAAGAAGCTAAATAAACTCTAAGTAAGTTAACTCAGGTCCACACCTAGACCAACATAATCCAACTGTCAAAAAAACACACAAGAGAATCTTAAAGGAAGAAAAATGACTCATTACCCCGAAAGGATTTGCAATAAGATTAACAGCTAATTTCCCCATCAGAAACCATGGAAACCAGAAAGACATCTGACGACATCGTCAAAGTATTGAAAGAAAAATAACCAAGAATGCTATATTCAGCAAAAACTGACCTTCAAAAGTGAAGGAGAAATTAAGGCATCCCCAGGTAAACAAAGTCTAAGAAAATTTGTTGTTAGCAGACCTGTCCTTCAGGAAACACTAAAGGTGTCCTTAAAGCTGAATGAAAAGACACTACATCCAAAGACACAAATAAGTATCCCTGGACTCCCTACTCTCTCTCTGAGGGCACAGGGAGGAGGGGCAGAATGGGCTTCTGCCTGCACTCAAGTCACTGTCCCACTGCTGAACTTGGGGGATCAGTAGGGCTCAGATCTCCTCCTTAAAAGCGATCTCACGGCCCGACTGTTGTGGCTCACTGGTTGAGCATTGACCTATGAACGAAGAGGCCATAGTTCAGTTCCTGGTCAAGGCACAGGCCCAGGTTGCGGACTCGATCCCCAGTGGAGGGCATGCAGGAGACAGCTAATCAGTGCTTCTCTCTCCCCTTCTCCCTTCCTCTCTGAAATTAGTAAAAATACATTTTTTTAAAAAGCGACCTCACGAATGCACACTCAGCAGGAGAAAAGTGGCTCCACCTTGTATCATGTGCCTTTTTTTGTCCCCATGTCTTTGTGATCTGCCCCTTTGCCAACCTGTCCTGGCCTCTCCACTAGGACCTTGCCACACTGTTGGAGCAGATAGGGTGTCTGAAGTACCTGCAGCTGTTTGAGGAACAGGACGTGGACCTTCGAATCTTCCTGACCCTCACTGAGAGCGACCTGAAAGAAATTGGCATCACGTGAGTCCAGGGCCATCTGTGGCTGCATGCCCCTTGTCTCTGGGACCGTCTGATGTTGCAGCTTTCCAACATTTGGAGAGAGAGTTGCCCTCTCTAGAGGTCAGCTGTCTTCTCCATTCTTAGACGTAGATGGCCTGAGTCTTGTGGCGTCTCAAGCTGGCCTGGCTCAGTGCTGTATTCAGGGAACCCAGACACTTTCTGCCTGTTCACTTTTGAGAATTTTCCAAGTTGGCAAACATAGCCTGGAGCCAGCTGGCTAGTTTCCTACTTAGTGACAGCAGCAGCCCGGCTGGGAAGGGGACCAGGTGCAGGGGAGCTCCAGTGAGGTCATCACTTCTCACAACCCTTTGTTTCTGTCCTCTGGCTACTCTCCCGCCTCAGGGATCTTTCCTAGGGAAACCATGGTCTGTGGAGTGTTCAGGCACATGCAAACGCTGATCCAGGTTCTTTTCTCATCCCCCACAGGTTGTTTGGACCCAAGAGGAAGATGACTTCTGCCATTGCCCGCTGGCACAGCAGTGCCCGCCCCCCCAGTGACGCCCTGGAGCTGGCCTATGCCGACAGGTTGGAAGCTGAGATGCAGGAGCTCGCCATCCAGCTGCACAAAGTAGGTGGGAGGCAGGGGGCGGGAGGGTACATGCAGAGATGGCAAGAGAGGTGTCTGGAGACACACACCTGCAGAGAAGGACACTGATAGGACAGCGAGGGCAGAAAGAATGACAGCTCCCACCATGAAAGGGAGATACGCAGGCAGGCCCACAGGAAGAAGGCCCAGAAAGGTATGGGACATTCGGTGGAGGTCAGGTGAACATCCACAGGAGACAAGAGAGAGGGTGAGGCCAGAGAACAAGTGGGCTCACAGGAAGGGACCCAAAGCAGGGGAGGCTTCAAAGTAGAAACAGGCCTCCCATTCCAGGAGAGAGACAGGCAGAGACAGAGGATGGGGGTGGTTCCCGGCCATGGCCTGGGGCCTGTGTCTCCTGCATCCTTGGCCCACTTGCCTGCCCCATCTGCCAGCCCGCCAGCCCCACCTCCCACCTCTCCCTCTCCAGCGCTGTGAGGAGGTGGAGGCCATGCGGGGCCAGGTATCCCAGGAGCAGGAGCTGCGGGCTGTGGTGGAGAGCTGCCTCCTGGAGCAGGACAGCACCCGCAAGGACATCCTTGCCCAGCTGCAGGAGACCTGGGCCCTGGCCCAAGATGCTGCTCTCATCCTGGACCAGCTACAGTGAGTAGGCACCTGAGCTGATCGAGTTCCCTCCAGATTCTTCAATCAAGGATTTGCTTTCAGGGCCTCCTCAGTCACTCCTTGCCTGCCCCCCCATTCCCCACCCCCACTCCCCACTCCTCACCCCCTGCCCTATTTCATTCTAGCTGTTCCTCCCTACAATGTAGACCAGGCAGAAGTAGGGCCATGAAAATCTGCATACCCTACACAAGCTCTCTGCCTTCACTCGGGCGAGAGCTTGTCAGTGTGGGTGGGTGCGGGGGGTGCTTGCCAAGCCCAGGAAGGTGGGCTGTGGGGACACTCCAAAGTGGGGATGTCTGCCGTCCCCTGCCCTCTGGGACCATGGAAGGCAGTTGCCAGGCTTTCCCCTTACCAGCACTTGGTCTTGTGTTCTGCAGAGCCTGTCAGGCTGAGCTGTCAGCCCGAGTGAAGCAAGACGAGTCCCCTCTGGGGGCCACCCTAGGCCCAGCCCTCCCTACAGCTGGTAAGGAGAGCAGTGTCCTGGGCCAGAACTGGGCAGAGATGCCTCCTCAGGCTGGGTTTTACCATGTCTCGATGGTTATCACATTTACACTCCCCAGTCCCTTTGCAAACACATTCCCAGACTCTAGGGTGAGGGCACCCTGCCCTCCTCAGCCCATTTCCTTAATGTCCCTCCTGGTGGTTGGAAGCAAAGCCCTTGGGCCATTGTGACTGTGCTATCCAAGACCTCAAGTGACTTCTGCAGCCTCCAGTTGGAGCCCAGGCTGGGTCCACCCCAGGGCATAGCCTCATGGGAGGCCAGTGATCCGCGCCACCCCCCCCACTCCCGCTTTCATTCCTGGGGCCAGGCCCTGACCAGCAGTTACTGCTTTGGGTAAGCAAGCAGAACCTGTTTTGATGTAACAAGGGGGTCACACAGGCACTGACAATTGGGTGGGACTCCTGGTCACAACAGCTCAGGACAGAAGCAGGGCCTGTGAGCACACAGACCCCAGGCTCACCCAGCCTTCTGCCCCATAGACTCCAAAGGCTGGCAGGCCTCCCTGCAGGCCCTGAGCCTCCCCCAGCTGTCGGGAGCATTGGAGGACCGAGTCCATGAGATGGGTGAGTCTCTGGGAGGGCAGCCAGTGACCCTCGCCCCCGCCCAGGGACCAGACAGGAGTAACAGGAAGAGCCCTTAAGTTTAGACCCCTAGGGCAGCCCCACTATAATCTACTGACCTTCCAGGTCATCCATTCCTAGTGCCCCCCGAGGCACCCCTTCTTCCCATTGCTGCCCACACTTGCAAAGCAGACTCTTCCCATCTTCAGGGCGAGTGCTGTGCTCGGTGACCCAGGGCCTGGAGAAGCTGCAAACGCTGAATGGGAAAGAGAACTGGCGGGAGCCTTAGTCTGAGGGATGGTGAGTATCAGCCCAGGACCCAGTCTGGGACAGCAGGGTCCACTGGGAGCTGAGCGAACACCCACTTCAGTCCTCCCTTTTCCTTCTCAGAATCTGACGTTGGGTGACTGATCCACCCTGAAGCTGTGTGCCCGGAGGACAGGAGGGCGGTGAGTGGGCAGTTGCAGCAGCCCAGGTCCCAGCTGGGGCCAGAGGATCGGCCCTCGGGAGCAGCTGGCAGAGAGACAGGACCAGGCTGTGGCTGGTTCCAGGCAGCAAGGCCCCCACAGAAGCAGGACGAGGGCCTTGCCCTGAACCTGGTGGTAAGGCCCAGAGCAGACAGGACCCTGGGGAGAGAGCGTGTCCCCATATACCACAGGTGCCACTCAGATTTGCCCTGATGGGTGAGGACGGGTGTCTGGGCAGCATATGTCATTTGCTGGAAAATAAAATGTAAGATCAGCTGGTGAGGGGCTCAGTTCTGGTCACACATGTCGTACTGCCTAACATAGCAGCAGGGGGAAAGCCATGCCAGGACCCCCACCTCCAGTGACTGGCTGGGGCCCAGGCTTCCTCGCCAGGACAGAATACTGTGCTTATAGGGGTGCTGACTTGGTGACCCCTCCTGCCCCATGGTCCCCAGCAGCTAGGGCTTTTGCTCAGAGCCCCTGTGATTGAATAGAAGCTACCTGGAGAGCCAAGCACACCCCAAGCCCCAGGAAATGAGAGCGGAGCAAAGTACAGGTATTTTATTTACAGAGTGGAGTGCCTTCGCCCAGTGTGGCTGCTTCATCAAGGCTCTAAGGTGGAACAGGTGCCCAGGCTGGGCAGGGAGCACCGCTTTTCTTAGGCTGGGTAGGCACTGTGGAGACTTTCCAGTAGCTTCACTGAGTTTAGCCAGACTTGGGGCCATAGGAGACTGCCATGGTGACCTTCCTGCCTGTGGTGGCTCTGCTGTTGTCATTCTGCACACTTGACGGGTATTTCCAGACCATCTCTGGGAGCTGCCTGTAGACCATACTGGGAATGGAGAAAAGGAGGCTTTCAAAGCACAGGAAAGAGCAGCAGGCTCAGCCTAGCGGCACAGCCACCGGGATCACAAAAGGGGCCTCTCTGGACGGTCTCAGCACAGAAGCCCAGACCAAGCCGACAGCCCAGAGAGGTCCGTGGCTGGTAGTGCCACAGGTGAACAGGGAAGTGGACAGCACCCCGCCTCAGACAAGGTCTGTGACAGCATAACTCTGAATGGGGCCAGTGCTTAGACTTGGCCCTGACTTTAAGTCTTAGGAAGTGAGAGAAGGAAGGGGACAACCTCCTGTGCCCTGCCTTGAGCCTGCAGTCAGGACCAAAGAATAGAGCAGCAGAGGAACCACTTTCCTGTCCCTTCAACAACTCCATCTATTAGCTGGGCCCATGACCCTGACTGCCCTTGGGGACCAAGCACCAGTGAGGTCAAGTGAAGCCTCACCCGTAGTTCATACAACACAGAAAAGGAAATCTAAGCCAGTAAAGCTAACAGCTAAAATTAACAGCACAACATCCTACCCAAACTGGCTCTCCTCTAGGCCCTGAGGCTGGCACAGAGGGCAGGATGCAGGAATGAGTCAACTGAGCCAAAGGCACCCCCCTTGAGAACCAAGTTCTCATTGGTCTAAGTGTCTGTACAACCACCCACTTGGAAAATCAGGCAGTGCCTGCGCCTCCACCAGCTCAAGGGACTCTCAGGTGGGTTTGAGCCTCAAGGTGGGTAAGAATGTCCTGAGCCTGGACAGCCAGGCCCACCACCCCCAGGCCACCCACTGACCAACCTGAGAAGGTCCCACCTGGCCCTGTGACTGCTTGAGGCAGCAGAGATGATAAGATGCCCACTGGCCCCATGCAGTCAGAAAGGGTCACACACACAAACACGCTAGAAGACACTCCCACAGAACTTCAGGGCCCTCAGCCCTGAACACAAGCCAGGGGAGGGCAAAGACGCAGTATGGGAGCAACCTCAGGAGGAGGATGGGAGCAGCTTCTCCAGGGCCTTCTTTTGCTTCTCAGTGGCTGCAGCCACAGCTTCAGCCAGCTTTTCCTCGGGCATCATGTTGAGCACCTTGAGGGCGAAGAGGAGCTGGTACTTAGCCGTGCTGATGAAGGCATTGCTCAGAAAGTTGGGAAAGCCACCAACTCGGTCCTTCTGGGTGTACAGCGGGACCCGCACCAGTCCCAGCACCTGCACAAAAGGGGACCAGAGTTGGGGCCGGGCCCCCACACCAAAAGCACAACCCTGGTAGGAGGGGCCTGTAAGCTGCTAGGCCAGGGGAAGGGAAAGCAGGTTGCCAAGGACAATGGGAGACCGCGGCAGGGTCTGGTGAGGCAGAAGCCAGCCAGCTCCTCTGGAGCAGTGCAGCCCTCTCCTCCCCAAGCAAATTTCAGGGCCACCTCATGCACTCCGCACCCTCTGCATCCTCATGTTCCAGCCTCCACCCGCTGGCAGGAAGCCCCCCAGTCCACACTCCATGCTCCCTCTTGCAGCAGGTGAATCCCCAACACAGCAACTGTCACTCCCAGCCCTTCCAGACCCTAACACCCCCAAATCACAAAAGCCCTCAACCCCTGCACCACGCGAACCCAATCTTCATTCCCAGTTCCCCTTTCTGCTCTTCAACTTCCCACCTCCTCGAGCAGGTCCCGCCCCATCCCATCCCATCCCCCCAACCAATCCCACTCCCCACCCCCAGGATTGGCAATGGCAGGCAAGGCGGATGGAACACAGCCCCGAGGGAGCCCCAGCCTCCCACCGGCACCTCAGGTCCCTCTCCCTACCCCGAGGCTGCAGTCACCCCCACCCA